GTGGGTTATATTGGAATGGCACAAATACATTTGACTTTAAAGCCTACTTTCTTTACTACGTCCCACTTTGGAGAAACTAAATTTAACAATAAACAGCCCACTGAAGAAGGCTGTCGTTCTAATCATAGCTCCTGCCTGCAAATCTTTCCCTTGATGTTAAAAAGACTTGAAGAGATGAGACTAAAAAGTTATTTGTTACCTTGCATGCCAGACTGTGTTTTCTACATTGATAAAACAGTCAGTTCCCAGCCAAACATGGCAACTCTGCCAAATCTGACTTGGCTTAGTGTAAAACAGGCTGGCACACGAGCATATTTACAGCTTTCTTAGTTAGGCTGTTGCTTCGTGTTAAGACGGTAAGTGTAGCTGCCATTGTCCAGTGTGCTGATTGACATCAGAGTATCTCTTACATGTATAAAGACCTTTCAATATATATGGTCATTTATTCCTGGGCATGCAATACTGTCTAATTATTACCAATGTTACCTGCAGTAAAAATCTGTGAACATCACAACCCTCCGTGTTGCCTATAACCATAGATATCTAAAGTGCTAGAAATGCTTACAATGACAATGCTAGCATGCTGATGTAGCACACTGATCACATCTTTTCATATGCATTTGCTACCATAACACATGAAATACCGTAAATATGGACTAAAGCAAATTTTAGACTTGACAATGGTGGTAGAAAAAATTTTAGGGATCAACAGAGCGATTAGAAATTATCCTGCTGGGGATGTTAAAATCCCATGGGATACCAATATTTTCTATAGGGAATGTCAGATGGTCATCAAAGTAAATGAAACCGATCCCCAGAATGCTGATGCAAAATATTTTGCCTATATCTATCCATTTACTCAGTGGATAATTGAAAACATTGACTTGCTGCTTTCAATAGAGGAAAAAGTCTGGTCAACATTAGAGTCAGCTATGACATTTTATGGGGGAGGGGCCATATCGATACAGAAGAGTAAAACATATACAAATGTATGGACGTACAATAAGTTGGCAATGATTCCTAAGATGATATCTTTAAATACTTGTAAAAAAATGTAATTGAGACAGTGTAACCCTAAAATGTGTGAAAAATAATTCTAAATAACAAGAAAATAAATACAAGCAAATATACAGAACTTGAATTTAAGAAAATGAAAATGATTTTAAATGTAAAATATAAACATTAATGCATTTCTTTTCTGCATTGATTATTATCTAAAATAAAAGATTTCATATAAATGCATATCACCAAACATAAACACCAATATACCGATAGGTCTCATACTGGCTCATTTTTAGCCAACAGATTGGTCGTCAAAGTCACCAGGACTCAAGTCCAGTGGGGCATGATTTCCTGTCGCACATTTTCAATAATCGTTGAGTTATTTCATTAAATCAAAAATGTCAACTTCATGGTTGCAGAGAGGAAGGTTCAGGGAATCCCCAACATCAGCAGGTTCCATCCCCCGCGGACAATGGACATAGAAAATTACATTAGAGTCTATCCGATGTAGATATTTGAGTCCGTACTAAAGTATTTGAGAGATGAATGGACAAAGATTGTCATCCCATAAACCATGCACATGGCATGGCTATATTTTAAGAATGGTAACTTTTGAAGGCTTCTCTAAAACCATAAATGAAGTACGTATGTTTAAAGTCCTTAACAGGACCTCCTCCAGTAAAACTAATCAGGCTAAGATAAGTTTGAATTTTATCCTGAGCCTAAGTCTTGAGTCTACAGCCTCAACTATGATTAATTTCAGGAACAACAGTGAGGTCATACAGAGACAATCATGTAGGATAAACATAGCTAAAGCATTTGAGTATCAAGCAAATAACCGAGGCTCTACACTACGTAATGACGTTGCTCATGTGGAGCATGAATGACTCGTATAGAACCAAAGTTTTCTGCCATTTCCAAGTCGGCAGGAATTGTCAAACCTTTCCTTTCCCACTATGGTGGCCCAGTGAGCAGGAGGATCGGGTTTCAAGTTGTTGTTTTTTTTTCTGTGCTGTGAATACAGATGTCAGCTGCCAGTGGAGGGTCTGGCTGGTGCCATTTCTGTTTCTGCATGTCTGAGCAGGGCCTTGGCTGGCTGATCAGAGCTGAGGGGTGCAGGGGTGCGCTCGATGGGAGATGCCTGGAAAGTAGTGGGGCATTTTAACATTTCAAAATTCTTTTAATGCTTTGTCGGGATTACTCTGATGTCCGCTCTCTCTGTGCGACTCTCTCTCTTACATAAACTCCTTCACCCCCACGTTCCTTCTGCCATGGACTGCGTGTCTCCTTCCCAAAGATCGTGCTTGTTTTAGGGGGCTTATGGAAAATCTATAACAGGTGGGCTGTGTTTGAAGGATATGTCTTTTCTAATTATGTGTTTGCAGAGGGATTTGGGTGTGTGGCTGCTGGGCCAAATGTTCTACCAGCCCCGTCCTGCTGCCTGCCTGCCTGCCTGCCTGCCTCTCTGCGATTGGTTGCATATGAATCAAATTGAAATTAGGGAATTGGTCAATTAAATGTGTGCAATCTTGATCACATGTCAGAACTTTGAAAATCTGCATTAAAAAATTGCTTTTCAACATCCGGATAGCAAGTAAGGGAGAAAATGAAAATGTGATTATTCTATTATACTTCTGCCTGGTTGCTATCAGAACTAGCATGTTTTATCTTTCTATACACAGTACCAAAACAGATCAAGGCAACATACTGAGTTAAAGGACTAACGGTGTTAACATACTCACCATTGGTTTATTTGGGCTGACTAACTGCCTTAAAGGCTTAAATGGAGGTGAGAGTTGATCTTTTTGACATTTGTGCTAATTAGTTGGGAGCGAGATTCATGGTTTGACATTTGCAGAATCTTAAATTCAAGAATAACATAGTCAACTGTATTTGTGCTGTTTGGGCAAATCGAGACTTGATTTGCAGCCAACCAAAACACTGAAATCCAAGTCTGATGGTGATTTAAGTCATGGGCGAGAGCAGGAAAAGAGAAATGTGGTGGAATGGTATTTGACCTCCCACCAGAAACAACACATTACTCTGGGTTGCCACAAAACGTGTTAAGTCCTGGAGTTCATGCATACTTTGGTTCCAGCCAACACCTCAGTGAAGGCCAATCAAAAGCGTTGTGGTCTTTTGCATTTGCTTGCTCTTTCTTATAATTGACATAAAGACAGACTCATTTAAATAAAACGCACATTGGCTAGACTACTTTCTATTGTGAGTTTTAATGTCAGCCTTTGGTCCCAACCTCTCCATTGTGGACATATGACCCAAATTTCCAGACTGTACTTCAGGTCACTTTTACAGCTGCAGAAAGAGAGCTTCAAGTGGTACTAATGTCCTAAACCCCTAAAACTCACAGGGTCAGAGGGTTAGTTGCAGGTCTGCTTGCGAGGAATACCCGTTGCTCTCCAGTAATCGATGTGTGTACATAGCACATCGGGCGCTCTCTGTTGGCCTGAGTGTTGGCTTGTGACCTGTTGTGAGGATTACAACTCAGTGATGTGTCTGGATGGGACGGGGCCAGGAGCAGCGTTTCCTCTCAGGATGAGCTCAAGCAACAGGGTGAAGACTCAACCTTTCTTCTCAGACTGTTTTCTAAACGGTCACATCAGTATGAGGCCTATCGTGGTTCATCATATAGCCTTTATCAAAGAGTGTAATTAATCCCTTTTTACTTCAAGAGCCTGGATTCACAAAAGCTGTAAGGAATCCTAATAAGTAAGCTAATTTTTGGAAAGGAACCAAATCAAAGCATTATACTTATCTTAATTCTTGCATTTAAAGCAATATAATTTTTCATGCATTTATTCCTGGGTTTTATATTAATATTTTCATGGTAAGACCGACAGCTTCCAACCCATAATGTGACCATAATTTGGTTTTAGCTTCTGCACTCTGCCCATGCACGTTTATATGAATGACAGACACAAATGTGGGTCACAATAAAAAAAAGAAGAATTTGTATCATGTCTGTGGGATGTGCCAGTTGTGCTTCAATTGTGTTTTTATCATATGAACCTGCAATTATTCTGCCAACTGTACAGACTGCTCTTCTGTACTACGCTAGCAATCTCAATCATCTTATTTTACACACACACACACACACACACACACACACACACAAACACATACACATACAGATGCACACACATACACATAGTTTCCATGGAAACAGGATCCAGGGCCTTTTATGACTGGTTGTTTGCCCAAGACAACCAAAAATGATCTCAGCAGCCAAGCAAAGACGGCAGATAAATCATTTGTGCAGTAAATAATGGGATGTATACTAATACAGAACGTCATAAGATGTTTGTTGTTGCCGGCAACAGCGTTGTTATTGAATTTAGATCAAGACATTGTCATATTCATTAGGTAAATTATCCCATTTTTTCCTTTTGTGTGACAGCAGACTCTGCTTCGTTACTTGTCTTGTCGTTCTGTTTGTTTTGTGTTTGCACATGCCTGTAATGTGGACACTCACTGTAGTGGCAGCACAGACACACACATTCAGACACAAGCGCACACACACACACACACACACACACACACACACACACACACACACACACATACATTCGGACACTTTCCAGCTGAGCTGCCCCTCAGTAGCTTAATGTGTGTCTGAGGTCCAGATGGCGTAGCAGTGGGAGGGCTGATTTGCGGTGCTAGCTGTAGCGCTATAGCGGTCTTAGGTTTTGTGAGACCTGGCTGGTTGCTGGGAGAGAGTCTGCAGCCAGTAACCCCTCTGAGTTACAATGGCAAGTGCACAATTCACAGCCATGCACTCAGCGGCCAGCTTTGCTGTGGCAGCAGGGTAAACTTGAGTATTTCTTTCTGTGGGAGCTGAGCTGTGGGGCTGTTTGGCACTTGACTATGAATTATAACAGTGACTCTTGTGATTGTCTTATATCTGCTAGCCTTGTGTTTTTTTGCTTTTGCTGTTTTGATGCAGCTATCAAATGTTTTCCTGTTTGTGTCCCCAATGACAGGAAACAAGCTTAACAAGGACCTGAAGCATTATCTGAGCCTGCGCTTCCAGAAGTCCTCGCCTGACCACGAACTGCAGCAGACCATCCGAGATAACCTCTACCGTCACGCCGTGCCTTGTGAGTCCTTGAACTTCTCTCAGCTTGTTCTGTCTTTACCTTTTTTTAATATTTGGTTTCTCTTGGTAAGCTTGTTTTTATTCTCAGGCAGCTTTAAGTTTTTTTCTTTCTAATCCTGTTGATTGCTTTTGACACTTTGTTTATTGGAGTTAACACACACAGACTTTGCTGTAATCCAAAAGTCTATGACCCTGTTCAGATGTGGTGTTAACATCTGTCCTAAGTGATCCAATTGCAAGTGGTCAGTGCTAAGTGCAGGTCTGAACTCACCCAGATGCATCCTGAATACATCCTGAGATCTGATCACTCAAGATATATTCAGAGGTGGGACGCATGCGGCCACAATCTTTTCACTGTGTGAAAGCAAATGCATCCTGGGCCACATTTGAAGGACCGCCTACTCAGCTGATGTGTCTGACCCGCAATGAATCAAACATTTTTACGCTTCTATGTGTCCATACATTGATTTGTTTGTCGCTCCCTAATATCAACACTGATCACCACATACTGATTAATACTTTTTTCAAATTGGTCAAATCTCTCTTTGTAGCAGAGCTGCATGAGATTCATTCAGTCTCTCCTGACCCCGCTCGTGCTCTCGCTCTCTCAATTGATCTATAATCTCAAACTAGGTTAAAAAAACAACTTCATTTCATCTTGTTAACACAAATGTGTCACAGGAGATACATTCAGGAAACATTTTAATACCAGGTCTGAAACAGAAGAACTTAACATTGTGATTGGATTTTTCAGGAAATATGTTGAAAGCAGGTCTGAACACGGACTATTTTTAATTTTGTGAAAATTAATAACCCTTGTTTGGTCAGTGTGAAACACTGTCTTGGCTCCAGGCATCATCAATTTTAGATCCATGTAGCTGCCTCACACAAGGCGTATGGTGTGTTTATCTAATTAATTCTGAATATTTCAGTCTAGTCCAAGAATGGTCCCACTTGCCTCTTGTCCAACACTGGCCAATCACTTGGCCTGGCTGATAATTTCATATCCCCCTCAGAGCTCCCTCACATTGTGGGTTGATCTGTTGCCTTTTTCACCTGCCTCCCAAGCTGCTAACAAGTAGCTAACAAGAAGTTAATGTAAGCCTCCACCTTTCATCCATTCAGTCAGCACAGTGTTTGCTTTACTAATATCGTTCGATCAGGAAACGTTTTATGACCCCACAGTGAAGAGGTTCATGGTATCTCATTGCCGCAGGATCAATAGCACCAGTAATTATTAGTCGTTGTGGCTTTATCCTAGTCCCTCACTCTCTATCACTAACTGGTATCTCATCTTCTAGAGGAGCTGGCTGTGTAATCCAGGAATAGAGGCTTGAGTCATTGACTCTTTTCCCTCTGACTGTCGATACAGCAAGGATGTAAAGGCACATTTGTTTCCTGAAGCTGGATATCACCCTTTGTAGCTGCTGCTGCTTAAAAACTTAATTAGACATGTGAAGCGTTTTGTTTTTCCCTGCTGTGAAAAACAACCCTCGAAGACAGCATCAATGCTAGAGACTTTGAAATGTAGCATTAGCACCATAATAACAGAGTGATGCATCTGATAAATGTGCGGCTCCCTCTGTTGGGAATCAGATAAACACCTACAATGACTGTAAGATTAGTATCACATGCTGCATGAAATCAACTGCACGGATCACAGTCAGGCTCATTGTTGTTTAACAATGTAGTAGGAATTTAAGATTAAATTTAGTTAAGTTTATTATAAGATAGTCTGTTAAATATAAGAAAATCCATTAAATGAAAAAAGTTACTTATTAATTATCTTTTGATCAAGTAAGTGAATAATTGCTTCATTTTTGCAGCCCCATATTTCATACTATTTTATTCTCCTGCAAATAGAATGGACTACTGTTCCAAATGTAATTTGGAATATTCAGACCTCATGAAAACCTTAAACAACTTTTTTCTCGGTAATTACTTCTCACTTCCACCATCACAATATATTTTCCAAAGCCTTAGCATATTGGATTTTTTGCAGTTAATTTCGGACTTGAAAGCTTCTCTTATTTCCCCAAACCCATGCTTTTCCCTTAATAGTTCTCATCCGTTGGTTTTTCAATTAGTTTATTCATGGCCCTCTCACGCAAATTACTCTCTGTATTACGGAGGCTTGTTTAAGGGACTTTATCTGCATTACCTCCTGTGCCATATGTCAGCCAGACACTGTTGGAGGATGGGGGTCTGACCATAATGGCCAGTTTAATCACTAAATGGTCAAAGGCACACCAGTAAAAAACCCTGGTGTTGTTTGCGGTAAACAAAGCATGAAGGTGTTCCCCAGGCCATATGTTTTATAGGACTGTAAAGTTTTGTTGTCGTACACTTGTACAGGAGTGTGAGACTCTCGTTTGCTCATGAAATGTATAAATCCTTTGCCACCGCTTAATTTTCTCCCCCTTGTATAATGGGAGGTTATGTTACAGTGGGCCCTGTCAATGAATACATATTCTCTAATGCCCTTCACACTCACAGAACAATACAAGTCTTAAGACAGCAGTTGTGTTAAAAGCAACAATCATTTGCTCTGAGTGGGAAAGTGAGATAGATTTGTGTGGACTGCTTTGGCCTGTGATCGTGAGAGGTCAGTGTGTATTCATGTTGACATCTGTCCGAAGGTTGTTCAAGGTACTGTCCATGTGTAGGTGTAGGTGTGATTAATGCACAGCAAGCAGGTGGAGAAACAGATGGAGAAGTCTGTCTGTGGAAGCTAGAGCATCTCCTGCCTCTAAATACAGTACTTCCATTTCTGCACATTCTTATTTCCACATTAGTGCTGGCTGAAAATGAATGATGTAATCTTTTCTACTGGTATTTTTGGAGTTTGAAATAAATCAAGAGTACATTTGTACCTACTGAGTCCAGGAGCTAACTCAACTCAGCTGATCCATATACAGTATACCCACTCTTAACTCTGTCCATACATGCAGTGCTGCAGCCCTTTAATGAACTTTAAGTTCATCAAGATCATCTTCCTTTTATTTTTCATTTCTGCTACTGATACAATTGTCGTGTTTCATCACAATTGTCACATTAAGTCAAGTACAAACATGCATTGATTTCATTAGTGTATTTGTGGCCTGCTGCTTATTATTTGTTTGTGTGTCCTACACTCTTGTGGGGGCATTTTCTTCCACTTCTCTGGAATGGATAATTCCCAGTGCACTAGAATTACTGCCAAGTCACGGTGCTAGCCTAGAGACTCTGTAGATGCCATGTGTTGTCTGTAATACAATGCAACACGTTCTGCCTTGCTTTTCACTGGGCGCCAAGTGGCTTCACTAATATTTGTGGAGGTATGTGGCATCGCTCTTCAAACTCCAACCTGCCTCACATCGGGACCCTATACAACCAATCGGAGTCAGAGTGGAGGCTATCAGGACTTGATCCCTCACTGAGCTTTACAATCACCGCAAACTGTTTTTTTTTTTTGTTGCCTGTGTGCCAGTGGCCGGAGGTTTTCTGGTTGTGTCTCTATCCAAGTCTTGTGAACACGATATCTCAATGACACCTAGTGGGAATGTCTTTTCCAAATTTGGTACAAATATTCAGTTAAACTCAAAGATAAACACATTAGAATTTGGTGGTTGAAGGTAAAAAGGTCATGGTGACAACATAAAACCCTATTTTACTTCATGAACTCATTTATTTTGAGAACGCCTTGAGAAGGTTCTTTCAAATTTGACAAACATGTTCACATAGACTTAGGTATTTTCCGCTTTGGTTGTCAAGGCTCAAGGTCAAACTGGCCTTTCTAACATCATATCTCAAGTCTGTCTTGAGGAAATGTCTTCACATTTTGACCGGTTGTCACTGAGATTCATAGATGAACTGATTTGATTTCAGAAGTCAAAAGTAAAGGCCACAGACACCTGGTATGCATCTGAGAAAAAGTATGTAGACTGAAACTGCACTGGTTATTAGCCATACAACCTCAGGGTGGTAAGTCTAGCTTTGGGGGGTGGCATGCTGTGAGTGTTGCAATACGCTGCAAACCAAAAACCAAGATATGGTTTTCATGCAAAAACATAGAAATTAAACAATAAAACTAGTTATTTTTGGCTAGTTTAAAAATCTCAAAAACATTATGATGGTCAGTATGTTCATAAGTAGTTATCAGGATATATAACATATTTTAAAATTGATTTATAATACAAATATAACCAATGGAACATGTTTATACCTCATTCAACACTTTTGAGAGCCATTAGCCATTCCTTCAGTCTCTCCACTCATGTTACCATAACACTTAAACAATTTGGAGCCACAGCTCTTCCACCCTCCCCCCATCAGCCGAGGCGTCCATCAGCTTCCCTTGTGGTCACCCTCGTCCGCACGTTCAGCATTCCCAATCTCCATTATCCCTCGCCAACCCTCCACCCCCCTTTCCCACTCTCATTCCTGACCCCCCCAACTCATGACACCGCTGCCTCTCGCTGCTGCTGCTCCCTTTCTCCATTTGTATCGCTCTCCTTCTCATCACATTTTTCCTGCCAGTCATTTAGAGCTGTAGCAGGAAGAAGAAGACGAAGAAGAGGAGGGGGATTTCTGTTTGGTCTATACGCTCTATGAGCTCAGCACTCTGTGCATGCGAGCCCTGAATTGAAAGCTCTGGTCTTGCCTGCATCAAGGCGAGTTGCAGCTTTGCCTGCTGTGGTTGTTGTGACGTTGACGACTTGCTTCCCAAATGAGCGAGGTTTGAAGAGGGTCGCGTCCATGTGCACGTGCGACAATGTGATGAATCGCGGGGCGGGCAGCAGAGACGATTGGACAACCTGTATATAGGCTAAGAGGACAGCTCAGAGGGAGGCGGGAGCTGGAGCCTCGGGGCTGGAGATGGGGGTGGGGTGGAGTTTGGGTGTGGGAGTGGGGTGAAAGGAGGGGGGATGGGTGGAGAGGAGGAAGAGAGAGGGGATGGAGGGATGCAAAAACACTCACATTCTCCAATCAACGCTGGCTGTGGTTAGCTAGTCAAGCTAA